AACAGCAATATTGATGAAATTTATAAGAAAAATTATAAAAGAAAAAAGGGCAGTTTCGATGCTAATGGTTGCCCAAAATTGCTCTTTTAAAGTTTAATAAAGTTCATCAGTAGAGATTATTGATACAAATGGCTCAGGTGGAATATTAAAGTATTTTATAGGCTACTACATGAATATTTATTTAGACTAATATGACAACATTACATATCTTCTATATATTTGAAAAGTAAAAAAATACATAATGCAAGTCAATACAAATATTTTATGTTTTTAATTACATATATATCATAAACTAAATGAATTTTTATTTAAAGCATATTAACATTTTTTTAAATAATATCCTTAAGAACTACATCTATTGTTTTTAAACAGCTTAGTTTATTAATCAGTAACCAATAGATTAAATTTGAAATATATATATAAAATTTTCCAAAATGACAACAGACTTGAATGAAAAGTCAAACAATGCATTTACAATGGGACATTTAAAGCATATCAACGCAAAATTGTGTTTTGAGTCTTAGGGCTTTATCAAACAGCTGAGCAAGTAAAGTAACTGTTTACCAGATTGTATGGCAAGAAATCATTGATTCTGGAAACAGTCACATTACTTCAAATTCAGGGTAAATTAGCATAAAGAATTCAAAATGTAAAATAATTCCATTGTTTCACATTTATGAGTTATAGTCTTATTTATTCAGGTATCAATAAAAAGAAAATTATAAGGAATGCAATACACGTATTGAGACAAAGGGAATGAAATATAAAGGGGCTTTATCACAAATATAATAAAAAAATTAAATAGCATTAGTGTTATGGAATAAATTTTAATTAATTTCCTTTCATTAATAACAATGTTTCTGTATTAAAATAAAAACCAACTACATAATTTAAAATCTCTTGTTGAAAGAAAAAAATATATATGAGAAAAAAAAACATTTACGATTGTATTCTGTAATAATTCATTACATTTTATGACATCAGCAAAAGTAACAAAACATTTTCTTTAATAAATTTATACATTATGATTGCTAATGTATGAAATATTTTTTCCATTAAAAACAATACAAAGATCCTCAGTCTGAAAACAAACTCAGTTATTTAAACTTCGAAGAGGGGATTAATTTTTGTCCTTGAGAGGATTACTCTCAATTGATACTTTACAATGACATAACACACCTCCTCGTTGAAATATTCTGCACAGAAACAAAAGTGCCTCCTTCATTTATTATTTTAGATTACTCTTGGACAATGCATTTTATATAATTCAGACCTTCAAACCCAGAAGTCACTAATATAGGTTACTGGCAAGAGCTACTTTAGTAGATGAAAGCAAGTATAAACAACTAAGTTCAAAGTTTTAAATAATAACTGTGATTGGCTTTTTTAAAATATAGAATACAAAATTAACACATCCAATCATGTATATTTCTTACTCTACTAATTTTCTCCTGCAATCTCTTCCTTTAGAAATGTTCATTGCATAATTTTTACTGGTGGACATGCAAAATAAGTACAGAAATTGTTTACACAACGCTGCTTTTCAAATAGCAACTGTGCTTCGAATATATTAATAGCAGGATTTTAAAACAAGGGTGCTCTTTTATAGTTTTAAACAAACTTGGGAAGCAAGGAGAAATCATTATTCATTCTAAATCCAGTAAGTGTAAGAAAGCTGGATGTATATATTTTTTTAAACAAAAATTATTCAGCAGCAGATAATTTTTAGAAGATAACAAAATGAATGCACTCCTCAAAGGCAAATTTATTTCATTGCAATTTATTTCAAAGTTTTGAAATTTTACTTGGCCAACTGATCTCACTGTTTGATAAAAAAAAATCATTGCATACTTGATACAGATAACAGTTTGTAAGCTACAGATGCGGGTTTTCGTGAAAGGAAGCTAATCTTAAAACATTTTAAAACTGAATTTTTATTCAAACTCCAGTTTCAGTCTGACCACATTCTATGCAGCAGTACATTATCAGAATATTTAATACCTCTCAATCACTGCATAATGAATCACAGACATCAACTCTCTATACTTGGATTAACAACTTGTTTTTGAGTAACAGTTTATAAAAAATCTAAGAACAAATTCTCCAAGTTTAAATGACCTTCAACTTGAAGAGCATTAAAAAACATAAAGAATCAGCATTTTCTTTCAGAACTAAGGGAAATATAAATCATAAGCTCATGTTTCTTTTAATAATTCACTATCTCGTGTAATGAAAATGAATTTTGGTGGTGATTACATTTTTATACATTATAACAATCCCAAACATACAGAATTAGATATGTGGCAACTGATGTTATACAGCAGGCCTGAATTTATCAAATTTCATTTTAAGTTTTCAAACAAACTCAAATGACTGTTGTTGGTAATTTCTTAATGAAAAATCCTGATGGAAGTTTCAAGGCAACTTCCATCAAAGAATACTTAAAAAGAGGTTTTTAATACAAATGGGACTGCATATCAAATATTGAATTAAAGCACCAAAGGCTCCAGGCTGACTATTCATGTAAAGAGGATTCCACTCAAATATTAATTACAGAACAATAAAGAAATGTTTTACAAATGTATAGAGAAACTAGGAAAGCAGACTGGAATAGAGACAGAAATTAATCATTCTAAAATATTAAAATCAAACTGAAACTGATTTGCATAGAAGTAGGGAGAGATATTTTCAGATTTCCATTTCTAATGTTGTTATATTGTAATTACATTAGGCACATAAAATTAAAATGCTTTAAAAGTTTGTATTGCATGGCATTTACAATCAAAAATTTAATTTTATACTGCAGTTCATTAACATAACAAAGCTCTTTCCAAAATAAAAATTAAATCAATATGCAGTGTTACAAATTACAACTCAATCATGAATCAATCAATTATGAAATTATTTAATCTAAGAAAAAAGAATATTATAAAAAAAATTTCAGTTGTTATCAGGCAAGCAGAATATTTAATATAATCTACAATTTCTACTATAACTTAAAAAAATCATATATAATATATTTTTATAACTTTCAAATCATATGCAAATTATTAGAAAATATCCGAAAAATTCATTTTAAATTTTATTTATAAAATCTATTACAAGTTGCTATAATTTATGCAATATTATTTTTAATTAAAAGAGAGCATTCATATATCAAAGGGAATGTAATAAAAAATATACTACATTTAAAAAATAACACTAATAAAATGAAAAGTTAAAACAAATAATAATTCACAAATTTCTAGTAAGATCAGCAACAATATCTTAATTCAATGTTATCTTTCTAAGACACATCCTTTTTTACAGTTAGTTGTAAAATAATACCTTGTCACTCACTTTATTTAAAAATTGAATATTGTATTTCTCACCAAAAAGATTTGCCTCTGGCACATACCCATGAACATTGTATTCAAATAAAACTGGTACAATGGCAAACATTTAACACACCTATCACAGCATTTATCATATCTTACTCTTAAAATGTTTTTCATGTTTTAAACATTAGAAACAAGAAAGACCTTTCAAAAGGAATGCTAATTTGGGCTGAAAATGATACAGTTGATTCCATTCAATTGAAAATAATATTGACCAATATTGGCTGCTAAACTGGTACAAATAATTCAGAAAATGTTAATACAAAGTCTTGAAGGGCAACCTTTTAAGTCTTAAAGCAAAAGACAATGACATAACACACCTTCAAGTGAACTGCTTGAAGTTTTATAGGCCACTCATGATCACCAAAGATATCTCATGATTTATTATAAAATGAATTCTGAGTCTTTATGTGTTTGTCATAAAATAATCATGTCTCTAAATTTTAAATTAATATTAACTTTTTGATTTCCTTTTCTTTTTAAAACAACATTCTGATTTCATAACATAATGGTTTTTGAAAATCAAAAATACACATGATAAACACTGTTCTCAACAAGCAGTTCATAAGAAGCAAGTTATGAAATAACTTCAAAATGAAAAACTTTGGGAACTATGCATATCTTTGCCTACAAATGATACTTTAACAATATAGATATATGTTACATTAATATAGAATATCTGTTACATTAACTAAAAAACATCAGAAAGGGGAAAAAGGAGGCAGACTAAAATAATATTGAAAATATGGAATGTTTCACAAAAATCAACATATTAAACAACTTGGTACAGGCACCTTTTAATTTGATTCTCATAAAAAATGCTTGCAACAGTTAAAAGAGTTAGCATTTTAAATTCAGAGAAATATACTTCTTAATATTTCACTTCTGAAACAAACCTGACTAGATAATAAAAAAGAAATTCATGTACATGCATATTTCATATACGAAATGCATTTTAAAATAAAATGTAAAGAAAATGCTTCAAAGTCATCTCAGTCATCATTTTCAGCCAAAAGGAATAAATGGAAAAAATGGAATACTCACTATTTCAGTGCCATGCAGAGATGACAATGTAATTGCTGCCTTAGTTATTTAAGAATTTATCATAAAAATTTTCTTTAAAAAATTACTCTTTTTTGGGGGGAAGGGATGCAGTTATCCACATTTTTTCTTGATTTACATTTCTATGCTGATCAAAATTCACACAGACTTTTAAAAAAAAATAGATGCAGATTCACTGTGAGACTAGAAGAGTTGACAATAAAAAAATCCTGAGTCTCCTGAAAAAACCTGGGAGGGCTGACAGCTCTGATAAATGTCATATACTACCTCAAATCTATTAAAATTATGAAGATTTATTATTTTAAGTTTTAAAGTTTAAAAAAAAATCTTCAATTTTTAAAAACTGAAGAATTATATTAAATGATTAGATTAAAAATTTGAGACTTCAAACTGAGTCTTAAGAATTTTAAGGCTCAATTTTAAGAGAAGCACTTAAAAGTCTTAAAATTAAAAAGAACAAAATTATTTTATTTTTAAAGATGCTAGAAATTTTCACTAAAAGATTCTCATATTTTTGAAATATTTCGCCTGTGCATTTAATATTTAATAATAATGAAAACATCAAAAAATATGAATGAGAATTTTATGTATTATTATGATAAAATTTATGATACATTTACAAAATTTAATTATAATCAATTTTGTTACAATGCCTATTATATAAGACAGTTTCTAACAGTTAATAAGTTTTAATATACTTTTTAGATCAAAAATCATCTCACTATACAAATATATTCTACTAGGATAATTTTAACACACACAGTATTAGTATTCTAAAATATTGCATCAATATTAAAAATAAGTAACTAACTCAGTTAAATTAATCATTAATGCTATAAATTTTAACAGACTTTACATAAATTTTCCAGGAAATTAAACCTAAATTGTTCATAACACAGATTGTGATAACTATGTTTTAAATTAATTGTTCTAAAACATCGCTCTCTGCAAACAGAATACTTGAATAAGATACTATTGGCAAATAAAGTGAGATACTTTAAAGTGATAACTTTTAATGACATGCTCCATCAATGCTAAAAAATATGCATTTATATATTATGGACACGAAACGTTAGGGAAAAATATCTCTCATTTAAACAAGATATTGGGATAAATACTGCCTATGAACAAGTATGTACTAATATAGTATATGCTACTGTATTAGTTATCAGAGTCTGAAACTTATAAATAATTATTGGAAATATTGGGACAGACACATGCACACATGCAAACACAGTCATAAAAAGACTGCACCCTACATTTTCTTTTTCATTTCTTATTAAATAAACATTCAGGCTCGATTTTGATTATCCTTGAAAACAATTCTTTCTTCAATTAGATTATAGATGCATATAATGCTATGTTAGAGGTAATTCTGCATACCTACCAATAAAAAAATGAGTTTCTCTCAGTAACATCTCTAATCTTTGAGAAAAGGCAAAAGTTGCAAGAAGGCAGATTTCACAAATAGAGTGATACTGAGATTAGATACAATTTACTTCATAGATAAAGCATTGTAGATTGGGATAGTTTCTTGTGCATTATCTGACCATTTCTTAACAATTTCCTTGTTTTGAAAATTACTGAAGTTTCATCAAGGCAAAACTCTAGATTTACTATCTTGCCTCTGGAAACCCACTCTTGAAATATGAACAATTTATGTATGTTTAAAATTGGGCAAAAAAGCAATCTTAGGTTGGTGAAGATTCTGAATATAATTTTATCGATTATGAAGGAATGCAGACATATATAGGTGGATTTATCTGGAAATGGCAAAACAAATTTTGCCTTCTCAAGTAAAGGAACCTATGTCTGAAAGCTCTCAAAATCAATAGTTTTATTCAAAATGTAAACCAACCTGAGGCGGCATTTTTGCCTAATTTAAAATTTGATATTAAAATGTTCTCCTTCTAGTTTAGTTCATGAGCTCTTTTGGGGGAAAAGGGGGGTGAAATTATTTTTTCAAAAAATTTAATGTTCACTCGCTATTACCCTACTTCCCAACATTTTCAAATCAAAGATAAGAATATATCTATATTTTAATGTTCCCACTCATTACTCAGTTCATCAGAGAAAATTGAGTCATGGTGGTAGGCTAGAACAAGACACATTTAATCTTCCACTAAATATTAGACACAAAGTTTATAGTTAAAAGCACTATTACAAATAATACAAAACTCTTAAACCTTTTTTAATATATTACCTAAAACATGTGTATATTTTACATTCAGATTTATTTTTCAGATTAAACGTTATAACAGTCGCTTATGGTCTCCATTAAAATGATATAACATAAATAAATTAAGGCTTGAAATAAACATTTTTAACTTGTACAACAAAATACTTTTCAAAGCAAAATACATACACAGTATGTATGTTTTTAATACTGAACAAACAATTTAATATTAGATAAAATATTAAGATTGTTTGGGGCAAATTAAAAAGCAAAAAATTGTTCATATTTTCTTCATGTTCAATAAAACATATATAAAAATTAAATAACACATATTTTGTTCTTGAAAATACTTAATATCACTATTTTTACACACAGTATAATATGGTGAGTTAAAAATGCCAAAATGAAATACAATCAACAAACATAAAATCATTTCACTGAAAATTAAAGTAAGAATCAATTTATAAATTTTATCACATAGCATTCTTACATTATGAGCAAACTGTATAGGAAGAAATGAAATAATTTATAAACCACCATTTAAAATAATAAAAACTTTAAAATTACCAGATCAATAAAACACTAGAATACAACAAAACAAAAAAGTTAAAACAATGAAATTGTTCAAACACTTGTTCAAAATACTGACATGATTGTTCAAAATACTAACTCAATTTCTATGATTATATTCCAATGTGGTTTGTTTTAAAAGAATAAAAATCACAAAAATATCTTCAAATCAGATCTGTCAGAAGGAAACATTAATATTTTAGTAAATACACTATTATAAATTTAGTACAAACTATCAAAATACTATATGGTAAAACTATGAATATATATCACAGGGAGGTAATGGAGGTATAGATATCATGGTAATGCATGAAAGAGCAAATTCCATTTACGAGATGTGGACTGGCTGCATATAGAGAGAATAACATATTCTCCAGCAGATTCCCTACTACACCCAAGGCACAATCCAGCAGCAGTATTATATATGGGTGAATTCATCTGTAAAATTTAATATCATTACTTATTTTGTATGCAAAAAGAATATATCATATTTTTGTAAATAATTTTAAATTAAATAATACTATCCAAAATAAAACTACTATAAATAGTTAATTAGCTTGTTTTGTTGAAATCAAGATACCATATAATCCACTTAATAGTGATTTCTCTGAGGAGATACCTATGGTGATATGATTAAATTTTACCATCAAGTTAATATTACAAGGTCGTACATTAGGAAAAAAGAAACTGAATTAACTTTTCTAAGTACTTAAAATTTAAGGGGGAGAAAGAGCATAACTTTCAAATAATCAGACAAAAAAATACTTGCAAATAGTTTCTTAATTATTATGATCATTTAATCCTTTGCAAATAGCTTAAGGATATCTGCTTTTACTTGAAACAAAGATGCATCACTTATCTACAATATAAATATTTAAAAAATGGTTAAGCTTATCCCTTGAATCAGTAGATAATCAAATAGAGATATTATTCATTATAAAAGTTGTAATGCTCATACTATAAACTATATTATGAAGGCTAATACTGTAAAAGAAGTAGAATTTAACAATACAGAAAAAATTATCTGATTCAAAAAGAGTTTTGTATGAATATAGCTTTCAAGTCAAGACACATAGGATTAAAATTTAGCATCTAGTCAATGAATATTTGGAGCCCCAGGACACTGGATCTAAGGCTCATAAAAATATAATCATGAATGAAACTTGACTTCAAGGGTAAAATTTCCTTTAAATTTTGATTGCATCTACACATGCTGTCAAAATTGAAAAATATATTTATAAAGTTGGCAAAAAAATATACTGCATATTTCCTTAAAAAATTAAAAATCTGATATGCTTTTGCAAATTTCATTTTTACTTCTTATAACCTATTATTCTAAAGAGTCATATTATTTATTAATGATAAAATTTTAAAGCTATCTCAATATAAAGCATTTCTTCCCCTTTTTTGAAATTTGAATTAAAATCAAAATTTAGCATTGCTAAAAATATTCAATAAACATAAAATTAAATTTTGCTAGGAGTTATTGTTATTAGTATTATTCTGCCCATTATCTGAGCCAACATACATACATCTGCATTATACATAATAAAATATGTGAAAAAATATACATTATCAGCATGTCTCCAGTCTTGAGATCCTCCCATTTCATGACACTTGGACAGATGAGGATACTTTGCACCAGCATCTAGACATAAAAGCTGTGCCAATCTCAAGTCATGTTTAGCAGTTTCATACCACATCTGCAAAGAGAAATGCATAACTTTTATCAGAGCAAAAATTTCAGAAGAAAGTTTTCCATTATTAATATGGTCATAGCTAGATTACCTAAGATTCGAATTTGGGCCACATGAAATAAAGATTTCTGAAGAAGAAATCTTTTTTGCACTATTTCTGTTTTACAAAATTATCTTTGATTTAATTATATGATATTAAAAAATAAATAAAGCTATTATCTTCTGCTCTGAAGCTTGGAAGTTTATACAATTAGTGTCAGATGTAGGATTCAGTAGTGATTAGCTGATTGTATTCGTGGTGGGCCGAATCAAATAAAGATTTCTGAAGATCTTCCACTATTTCTGTTTTACAAAATTAACTTTGAGTTAAGTATATGATATTAAAAAGTAAATAAAATTATTATCTTCTGCTCTGAAGCTTGGAAGTTTATACAATTGGTGTCATATGTAAGATTCAGTAGTGATTAGCTGATTGTATTCAGTAACACTTGATTTGCTTGCACCATGTTCCAACTAAAATTTCATAAAAGAGATAAACTGATGTTGACTTTTCCCGCGACGGGGGGGGGGATACAGTTGGAACAGAACGGAATGATGATATGGTAAGATGTATAGATCCGGCACTGTGCCGTGTATGATATTTCATATTTGTTTAAATCATGTTTGTTGTTACTGTTTCAATAAATAATCAAAAGACAACTACTGTGAATTAAATAACTAAACACTTCAAAACAAAAACACCACATTGTTGGTGAACGCCGAACATGATTTGGGATTACTGCTAACCTTCTGATAGAACGTGGAACTTTCTGATTCACGACCATGAAACAGTTCTTGAAGTGCTATGATTTTGTATGTGATAGGAAGTTTTGAATTTATAGTGGTGATCTGATTTTTTAGTTAATGTAAATTGATTTAAAATTTAGTTTTGAAAACAGAAGTAGTTTATGCAAACATGTTGAAAAGAGTTGAAAGGTTAAGGCAAAAGCGAAACTGCATTAGGCAGCTTTTTTGTAATCTTTTGACAAAAATTGAAGATGCAATAAATAAACCTTTCAGTGAAATTTAAAGAACAAAAACTTGATGATTTTTATGATCAAAGAAACCAGTTGATTGAAAAGATAAAGAATCCTAAGGGTTTAGATAGTGAAATAGAAGTGATAATCGGTATAGATGAGTTAGAAAACGAAATTGCTGAGAGTGAAGAATATCAGGAACTCGATATTTAATGGAAAACAAAACTAGATAGGCATATAGAAAGTGCTTTTAACAGGGTTTCACAAAATGAAATTCGGGTTAATGAAAATGTTAGGTTGGAACAACGCAAAGTAAGAAACGAAAGTAGTGTATTTAAGCTTCCGAAATTAAGTATTGAAAAGTTTTATGGCGATTGAAGCTCTTGGTTGGATTTCTGGAATTCCTACGAAGTAGCTATTCATAATAACAATTCCTTAAGTAAAGTTAAGAAGTTTTCGTATCTGAAAACATTTTTAGGAGGTACTGCCTTATCAGCAGTTTCGGGATTTTTGTTAACAAACGAAAATAACGATTAATCAATTAAGTTGTTAAAAAAAAGATTTGTAAGGCTAGATTTGTCTATAAACTCGCACATGAATAAACTGTTGATAATCAATTCCGTTAAGACATGTGTGAATGTTCCAGCATTGTGAAGAATGTATGATATGACTGAGATTCAAATTCAATCATTAAAGACGTTAGGTGTTGCAGCAGGCACTTATGGTAGTTTACTTTGCCCGGTAATACTACAAAAAATTATAGAAGAGCTAGATTTGTATTACAATAGACAATGTAAATCACGTGAATCATTTGATATAGAGCACTTAGTTGAGTTTTTGAGGAAAGAGGTAGAAATAAGAGAAGTGTCTTCTTTATTTTCAGATTCAAAAATTTTTAAGCGAAATGAAATTCCTTTTAGTAATAGAGGAACGAGTCAAAATTATCAGAAAAATTATGTAGACTCAAAACCAAACATTTCAAAAGCATGCATTCCAACAGAAGCTGCTTTAACAGCCATAGCGAATGAAATATGTAGTTTTTGTTCAGACAAATCTCACGAAACACATAAATGTCCTTTACCATTAACAGAAAAAAGAAATTTGTTAAAAACACAGAGACGATGTTACATTTGACTGAAACGTTGATATACACCAAAATTTTGCTTGAAAAAGGACCAGCTCTGAAAAATATGTAAAAAACTTCACAATTATTTACTATGTGATAAGGCTGAACCAACAAATAATGCAGCCGAATCAAATGGTAAAGAGACGGACAATAATTTATCTACAGTACACTCATTGCATTGCTTTGGAGGAAGTAAAAGGGAATTTGTAAACAAAACCGAGAGAGCAGGAAAGTGGTCTCCAGTTTTATTACAAACATTCAGCACTATAGTAAAAACAAATAAAAAGAGCAAAATCTTGAGGGTGTTAATAGACCGCGGGAGAAACATAACGTTTATCAGAAGGAAAACTGCAGACTCGTTAGGATTGAAGGCTACCCGATGTGAAAGGTTTGTATTACAGTCAAAAGTCGTTAATCCGGACACCCATGGCCCGGAATGATCTATAATCCGGACCTCAAAGCTACAAACTTTCTGCGCATGCGTCACATATGCATAAGACCTTACGCTGCATATGCATTGCGCATACGCATAATATTTTACGCATGCGCGTTTAATGTATAACGGACGGTATAAGCTAAGCTAAAATTATCTAATTCAGTTAATGTTGCAGATTGCATTGTTCCTTAATCTTCGAATTGGATCCAGCTTATTATTTTTTGCAGCCTGTTAGAGCAATTTTATAAAAGTAAGCTTGAACTTTCGATTATGTCAAAAGAATTTCCAATTCTGGAGCTGCCGAAGGATCTACAAAGCGAAAGGCGTGTTTTGATGTCCATCAAACAAAAAGTGGAATTGCTGCAAAAAATGGATAAAGGCATATCCTTTGTTTCTCTAACCATTCCGAAATCTGTTTATCAATTTCACGTGGCTCTGAGGGGGGGAGGGGGAGGTGAAACGCCACGGCATGCAATGAACTGGAAGTTGATCTGTCAGCACTATCCTTATCTTCAGGGCAGATGTTTTTATTTTATTCAGGCTTATAATTCCTTACTAAATGTAGTATTTCATCTCGATGTACTCCGTCTTTGATATGATTTAAATGAAATTCCTCGTCATTATAATTTGCTTCCGATAAAGAAGAAAGTACACAGAGTTATTGAAAACAAAAAAATTTCGATTCAAATAGTCGGTATTCTCGACACAGCAATTTAGGACTTGAACAGCAGAACTTTGTAACTGAAGAAGTATGTCTTTATGAATTAAAGAGAATGTATTATCACATAAAACGAAGCAACTTAACTTATATTGAAAGAAATATTTAATAAAGTAAACAAATAAATATTAAGCTTTTTTTTAAAAAAAATTTTGATACCTTTTAGATCATAACTGTTCTTTATTTCATAAATTATGGTTTCATATTTTTAACTTTATAATTTCTGCATGCCATCTTACCAGATTTAAACTGATGATCTATAATCCGGAAAAATCGATAATCCGGAATCGCCGAAGTCCCGACGAGTCCGGATTAACGACTTTTGACTGTATATGGGTTTGGTAGCGAGTGTAAACCTAAACAGCAGTATAATATAGTTCAGCTTGATTTGCAGAATAGAATCAAAAGTTAGAGATAGACAGTCGTCCAATAATTGTTTAGATAGTGTTCCAAACCTTAATCCAGATTTGCTCAGGATTATTTTAAGATTTCATTATCACTCAATTGGTTTTTGTGCTGATATTCAGAAAGCAGTTTTAGAGACTGGCATAGAAGAGGAGGATCGAAAGTTTTTGCAGTTTTTATGGAGAAATGAGGAAGGGATTGATTTCAATGATTGTGATATCAGAATTTTACGAATTACATGTGTTCCTTTTGGTGTGAAATGCTGTCCCTTTATTTTGACAGCAACTATACAACTTCATTTATCAAAAAAAATCAACAAAATTCACACAATGAAGCACGTTCTTTATGTTGATGACCTAATAAATGGGGCATCAACTGTTGAAGAAGTGGTATCTCTTACAAGAGTAAATTTATAAAGAGTAAAGCAAACATGAATTTATGGCAATTCAGCTATCCTTAATCAAAGATGGAACGAAACCCAAATGGAATGCCGTACGCCATTGAATCAAACAGATATACCATTAAAGTTATTAGGATTAATTTGGGATAATGATAAGGACACCTTGAAGATAGATCTGATCAATTTACAAAATTTAAATATGTGACACCAACAAAACATACAGTTCTAAGTGCACGTGGCATGTTGTTTGATCCATTAGGTTTAATTACACCATTCAGTGTTAGAATTAAATTGATAGTGCAGACTCTTTGGGAAAAGGGCTTAAAATGGGAGGAAAATATTCCAGTAGAATTGGAATCTATGTTCCAGAAGTGGTAGAATGAAGTAAGCTTGACAGGCTTGTCATACCTCGACCATATTTTGATGAGCTGGAAGTACATATATTTTCTGATGCAAACCCAAAAGCAGGGGTGTTTGTGGGACCCCAAAAAATCCCCTGAAACTTTTACGGACTTTACTACCGACATTTTGGAGTTTCGAGAAGGGGGGGAGAGAAATGAAAAATTACAATTATGAAAGTATTGAATGACTAATTATAAAAGTCAATGAATTACTTCTTTTTGCAAAATTAATAACCATAATTTCAAACATATAAACTACTACATTTTATGTAAATATTTAAATTACGGAATTAATTCTTTAAAAAAAAATATCTAATTTCTGCTGCTTTTTTTTATTTCTGATGTTGTGGGCTTGCTTTCTTTGTGGTGAACTTCATATTACAGGAAGGTTGACTTTTATTTTCCTCATTTACAGTTGAAGAAATTTTCTCGAGAACTGCACATGCAGAGTAGAAGCAGTTTGCTTTTCTGCTAATGTAGAGGTTTTTCAGAGACTTTTATAGG